AGATATTACCCGTTAATATCACAGAAATGTCAGTGATGATAAAATTGTGTTTAATAATTGTAAAGCTAATGAGCAATACAAAGAAATCGATAGAACTCATCTCTGCTTTTCCTTGATAAAGTAATGCATTTCAAGAGACATGTTTATATATATATATCCCGAGTTGACCTACCCACCAGAAACAGTAATGGAAGCCTGACTGTAACGTATGAACGGTGAAGCCCGGCTCGACAAATTAGCTTATATGTAACGTATGAACGGTGAAGCCCGGTTCGACAAATTAGCTTATATGTAACGTATGAACTGTGTGTGTGTGTGTTCTCATTTGTAAATACCCCAACATTTAGTTCAGTTCTTTCAAGTAAACCTGGACATCTACTGTCACACAGTTTATCCGGGAAACACTGGAGAATGTAAATGACACTCGAACTCAACTGTACGAAACAAAGAAAGTTCTTCACTTGTTTGAAATATGATTGGTTTGTCCAAGATCATACCACTCTGATTAGGCATTGATCTCATGTGAACATTATTACAAGTACGAGCTGATAAAACGAGTGTGGCGTGATTATGTTTCACACTGCAGTCATAAGAGTGATAACGAAGAAGGTATATTCAAGGTTAAATGTTACAATGATATTGTAAATACCAAGAACGTCAGTCTATCAACAACAACAAAAGAGAATAAACGCTCTAAACATAGCCTTGCCAGTTTTAATTAAATCATTTATACAGAATAGAACACAAATGTATGTACGATTACATGATATATTAACAAATAATATGTTACGCATGCGTTGAATATGCCGAAAACAATAACAGTTAAACAGATATCTTTACAAATCATGCAAGGTTTGCTTGACATGGTCTGGTGGTTAGGGCGCTCGACTTCCTTCCCCAAACATTCTCGCCGTTTCATTTTATTGTGACTGCCAATCCAACTTTTCGCTGGTAAAGAGTAGCCCAAGAGGTGGAGGTGGCCGGTGTTGACTCGCTTCCTCCCCTCTGATCTATCAGTTCAGAATTAGATACGGTTATCACAGATAGTCCTCGAGTAGCTTTGCCCGACATTAAAGGAATAACAACCAAACCAAGTCATGCCAGAACTGCTTTGATCGTATTATACACTTGTTTGTTTTGTTTTTAAGTATGCACAAGGGCTATCTGTGCTCTGCCCACCACGGGTATCGAAACCCGGTTTCTAGCGTTGTAAGTCCACAGACATACCGCTGTGCCATTGGGGGGGGGGCTATTATACACTTAAGTTCAATAATAATTCGTTTTAAAGATTCCAGTTAGTCATACCTTGTAGGTGTCCGTTTCAATAATAAAAATATCGCTAACAGCTTTGTTTGTTTCGGATAGTAGAGTAAAGCTAAACAAAGGCTCACTGTCCCTAACATTGAAGCATTCGACAAGCACCCTCCGCCAATTCTTGGGCTACTCTAATCAGATAGTCGGATTGGACCGTCACTCGTGTAACACATCTACGACCCCAATTTTAGGGGTCACGATTTTACGGCACAGACTAAATTACATTAGTGTTTTAATTACTGGGTTAATTTTTAGTTCTGGTCTATATAAGTGGCTGGTTTTAATCAGAAGTTAATGAGTATTACTATTATTTACACACAAATAGGTGGGGGGTATTCATACTGTCATAAATCCTAGAGGGTAAATCAATCTGCAATCGTATTTGTAATAACAACATGTGTTTGATACTTTTTCTATATATTGCATTAATTATTTCACTTTTGATATATTTTTATTAGTAGTAATCAGAGTATTACCGTTATTTTTCCACCTGGCGGACGTTTCGGCTGCTATCAGTGTTTACTTGAAGACGACTTGGCTTGTTTTCTGTCAGACATTACTTTCCGTCGTATCTAATACAGTAAACGTAGATTTTCAGGCATCAGGAGTGGCTGCGATATATAACAGTGGAGAGAAAACTCCCCTGCTAAAACATATATAAAACTGAATCAAAGAAGAAATTACTCATTAATATGTATATATATGTTAACACATTTGTAACCAGACGTTAAGATGCTAACATTTGTTAACATCTTGACGTCTGGTTAAAAATGTGTTAGCATCTTATCGTCTGGTTACAAATGTGTTAACATCTTCACGTCTGGTTACAAATGTGTTAACATCTTATCGTCTGGTTACAAATGTGTTAACATCTTATCGTCTGGTTACAAATGTGTTAACATCTTAACATTTGGTTACAAATGTGTTAGCATCTTAACGTCTGGTTACAAAAGTGTTAGCATCTTAACGTCTGGTTACAAATGCAGTTGTAACCAAATGTTAATATGTTAACACATTTGTAACCAGACGTTAAGATGTTAACACATTTGTAACCAGACGTTAACATATTAACACATTTGTAACCAGACGTTAAGATGTTAACACATTTGTAACCAGACGTTAACATATTAACACATTTGTAACCAGACGTTAAGATGTTAACACATTTGTAACCACACGTTAATTTGAACGTCCCCCTCCCGAAAATTGGAAGGCTTATAACGCTAAAAATCGGGTTTCGATACTCGCGTTGGGCAGAATATAAACAGCACATTGTGTAGTTTCGTACTTACCAACAAAGATATGAAATATTAATTTTAACACGAAGTTTTGACTTTTCTATCATATTTTCTGGTCTGTAACTGTACAAGAGACAGTATGTTTGTACAACACGTTTATTCTAGTCTTAATCTAACGATTACTTACTTACTGTGCACGTTTATAATGAAGCTGCTGGGACAAACACGTTTGTGTGAATGGATATAACCTCCCTTAAATCACGACGACTGATATGTATTTAAATATCACATTGCCCCCATACTCACCCGCAGCTCAGCAGTAATCTTGAGAGGTTTAAATCAGGAGTTCGATCCCTGCGGTGGGCATAGCACAAACAGTTTTCTTTTTCCGTCTTTGCGCTTGAACAAAAAAGAAATCTAAATAGCAGGATAGTAACCTGGCCTCCTAATGAGACTTCTAAATTCACCATGACCAAATGTGATTAAGACAATTCAATAAAAATAAGTCTACTGAGTCATAATCAGGATTCTAAATTCACCATGATCAAATGTGATCAAGACAATTCAATAAAAATAAGAGGCTACCGAGTCCTAATCAGGATTCTAAATTCACCATGATCAAATGTGATCAAGACAATTTACTAAAAATAAGAGGCTACCGAGTCCTAATCAGGATTCTAAATTCACCATGATCAAATGTGATCAAGTCAATTCA